GAAGTTTTTCACTTTATGTGCTAGTTACACAAAAATCAATCTGTCACTGCTTATAATTAACTTTCAGCTATTTATATTCCAGTAAACTTTTTAAATTTTCCATTACATGTTAAGGAGAGTATGAATGAGGAGAAATGGTATCTGCATATGTATTTCTGCCAAGAAAATGCATCTCTAGTTGCATATGAAGTGCAAAGGGAGGACAAGAAATAAACTCATTTATATAAGAATCTCGACAACATTATATGAATTTCTATGGAAATACATGTTAAACTAAATTAGGCTTCATGTAATCCCACATACCTAAGAGGCAGATATCTGGAGGATTTTGAGATTCAGTGCTAGCTCAGGCTGAAAATACAGGAGAGTCCATCTCTACAATAACTAGCAAGAAACTAGGTTAGAGGTATGGCTCAAATGGTGGAGTGCCAGTCCCTAACAAGCCAAACATGCACAGAAAGATAAGAAGAAAAAGAAAGAAAGAAAGAAAAGAAAGGAAGGAAGGAAAGAAGGAAGGAAGAAAGAAAGAAAGAAAGAAAGAAAGAAAGAAAGAAAGAAAGAAAGAAAGAAAGAAAGAAAGAAAGAAAGAAAGAAAGGACAAAAAGAAAAGAAAATATTGGTCTATTGGTCTATGAAGGTGCTTTGACTGTGTTCTACTCTCAACTCAATGAGAAACCCAAGTTCTTCCCTTCTTGCCTGTTTCTTCATCTCTTAATAAGAAGACATGGTTGTGAAATGTGCAAGGTCTGTATTGATACATTATAGACTGCATATCATTGCCATTCATATTTTCACTCAAGTAGTCATAATTTGCACAATAATTCAAACACATATCTGGAAATTAACACCTTATAGTTCAACCTACTTTATATTAGAACACTGGAACCCAAAGGAGCCAAATTATATTAGTTATCAGTGATGTCAAAAGAAAAATCCACTTCTTAATCAATACATCTTATCAAATTTATATAGTTTTTTTCAAAAACAAATATATTATGTAGTGTTCACATAATTTATTCTTCATCAGTATGTTTATCTTGGGGTGGTCTTTGCGAATCCTCCTTTGTGTAGATTCACTCTTTCCTGGGAAAAATCTCAGAAATACATAGTTTTCCTTATGTGTATTAAAATTGACTTTTAACTTCTCCAAGTACCAACAGTTAACCAAATATACCAACTAGTATATCTTCATATATTGGTAATTGTAGTCAGTGTACAACATCATGTACATCATCCTTTACTGATAAGTAATAATGAAAATAAAAAGATGAGAAATAATAAGAATGATGTTGATTTAGAGTTGATATTAAAGATGTGTCTTAACCAACAGTGTCCCTGCTTTTTGTACCTCTGGGTTTCTAAACTTCAGTTTTGTTGTTGTACCTTTCCAAATGGTCTGTGGGGTGATTTGAATCTTTTTGGACTTGTCTTCTGTGATTGTTCCAGACTAGTTTAAATAATCTTAAGACTAGATAGCTTGGTATTCTGAATGTATATGAATTATAGAAACGCTCAGGTCAGCTTACTATACCTCGTAAATTTTTTATAACATTTTAGCAAAAAGTATAACATGACTACATGGTGATATCAGCTGGTCTTGAGATGGCTCAGCTTTAACAAATTCTAACAAGATTTTTTAAAGTTTAGAGGTAGAAATATAAATAGAGATTTAGATATTCATTTTTCAGATCACATTTTATTTTTAGCAGGAAAAATTCAAGATAGACAATGAGCAGAAAGTCACGCTTAGCTACACATAGTATGTTTGAGTGAGGCTGATTGATACCCTTCATTACATTATGTCAGAGCATACAGACACTAAGATTCATGGGGCACTTGTATCAGTCAACATGAAACTACTGTGCAAACATGGTGATTTTTAATGATCTCAAGTTAGATTACAATGGAAAAGGAAGCCTTGAACTTGGGCATAGGAACAAAGTCAATATTCTGTCATTTTTGTTTTTAAGAGTGGGAGTGACTAGAGATTGTTCACCCCACTTCTTCAAGATTGCATGTTGATCTCTGTCAAATGTTTTTGGAAAACAAATGAATAAGGAAGTTGAGCTAACTTAAACATACATTGAAAGTATGAAAGAATGGGGCTGGGAAGGAGGCTCATGCTTTGCATGCATGAGGCCCTGGTTTTGATACCTCAGCACCACATAAGCAGAAAAAGGCAGTAGTGGTGCTTGGCTCAAGTGGGAGAACACTCACCTTGAGCTGAAGAGCTGAGGGAAAGCGTCCAGGCCCAGAGTTCAAGCCCCACGACCGACCAAAGGAAAAGAAAAAGGAAAGAAAGTATGAAAGAAATACTAAATATATAATATAACCGATTAAACCCCCAGAACTTCCAGTGCAGTTATACCTCAGGAGGGTCTGTGAGTGAATAGAAAAGGAAGTTGCATGTCCACTCTATATTTTCTTTTTTTCCCACTCTATACTTTCTATCCTCACTGTGCTGGGATTACAACAACCACTACAACTCATAAATCCTCTTATTCCAGTTGATCAACCTAGACTATCACAGAACTACAAGGACATAAGTAATAAAAGATTGGCTCATTATGGGTTGGTGTTCTCCTCCTGATCAAGTCTGCTGTGGCAAGTGAGTTCCAACCATGAGGCTCACAGCTTCTGGGATCATTCTGCCTGTGTTGGGGAAAATTCTAGGAATAGCTTTAGAAAAGGGCAACTCAAGGTCTAGGAAGTATACCTTACTATAGTTGCATAAAGCTGAAGTAAAATTTGAAATAAATTAGTCCTAACAAGTCTTATATGTGCGCTACTTAGTATTTCTAGAACTAAGTGTTGTTTTGTTGAATAATATTTCCCTTCCATAGCCTATACTTGATACAGAAAGCAAAATGTTGCCCTTTGAGTGTACTTCTGTTATGGAGGATTTAATTTAGCTATTTATTCAATTGGCAACAGCTTATAGGACATTTGGAGCTTATTTTGCTTTGTAGTGAAGAATCAGTCTCACTGAAGAAGATGACATATATAAATCTAACAATTATACTTCACTTAATCTTATCTGAGCCTTTGGTAAAAGTCAAATGGTGACTAAAAGGCTCAGTTTCTCTAACTAATGGAGCTCCTGTCTATGCCAGACAATTTGAAAATATCTCAAATCATATACCCATCACTTGACTCGAAAGTCATTTACCAATCTGCCCTTTCCTTTCTGCGTTTTCCCCATCACATGCTTGATGGTACCATGCACCACTGATGCACACAAACAGCTACTTAATGTAAATAATCAGTATTTATATTTCAAAGATGGGTTAATCAGTGATCCTTGTTTTGTGCAATTTTGCCTCCCCTAACAGGCTGTCTAACGACCTCAGCATCAGACAGTTGGAGCATCCCACTTGTTTGGGTCCAAATATCTATGGCAGATCTAGGGGGAAAAAAAAGAATCTTTTGAACCCACTGTTTTTTTTAAGGAGCTAGAACAAATTTACATGAGCAACAATTCAAAACATGCTTTATAATTACAGATGTAAGCAGATAAAGAGTGTTGACAGGACATAAAATCAAAGACAGAAATCTCTAAGTAACCAACTACTTTTAACCTTCCCTCGCTTAGCCTAATGCTAATCCCTCAAGGCTAATTTAGTCCAGATAGAATCTTATTTCGAAGCCTCCACAAACAACAGCTAAAAGTCTTCCCACGAACATTAGGCATGCTTATGTTTCACATGGAAAAAGTTTTCATTGTATCACTGCTTGGTTTTGGTCTTCTGTGATTTGTCTTTATATTGCATCCTCATTGGACATTTTAGGAAAGTAGTCCCATTGTCTACAGATGGTTAGTATTTTACATGCCATCTTTAACTTTATTTCATAAACATAAGCATTTAGTATTTTACACATCATATTTAATCTTTACATTGCATTGTTGTACACAGAAAGAAACCAAGGCCTTGGAACTGCTATTTATTAATATTGTCTTCTTAATGTAATTGTGTATATAAAATTTCTACATTTCTACTCATAGTCCACCATGTTCTAAGTGATATATTACTATATAAACCATGTCCAATGTAACATTCAATATCATTACTGTACTAAATGAAAATTAAATACAAACATTCTTTCATGGAAAGGAAACAGTAACAGACAGATTCTGGAAGCCTACATTGGTCTTCATTATGAGCCAATAATAAGATTTACAGGTTTCAGATGCCTTATTCCTTTCATCTACCAGATCTGTCTCCATGTGCTTATCACTCCCTGTGAACTTGTCCTTTGTGTATTTTTATCTTCATAAGACCTAGAAGATATTGTATTTACTGTAAAATAAATATTGGGCCCACAAAATTTGGAATCTAAGATTCAGAATAGTAAATCCCTCCTCCATCTCTTTCACAGCTAGGGTCTTTGAGGCTAGATGGCTTTCTGAAATTTGCTAAGCACTCAACATATGTTTGACACATAAATGAATATAAAAGAGAGTTAAAAGAGAAAGAAATCAAGCCACAAATCCTACCCCTAATAATGCTATCCTCTGTGCACAATCATGTTCTATACTCCTACTTGAGACAGCCCACGGCTTACTTTACAAGAATGTCCCTAATCACTAGAATGGTATCTGCTCCTTCCCTATGTTCAACTCTATGTACAAAACTGTCTGAAAACCTGGGCTTGCTTGCTTCATTATCACCACAAGCATGAAGTTGGTTTACCTAGAAAGTTGGTTTGAATATCAAGCTGTCTTTCTTCAAGGACAGATCTATACAACAATTATAGAAGATTATATGAGTAAATAGTAAATGAAAGAAAATAAAATCTATAGTTCAGAAAAAGTGAAAATTTCTCTAGGTTTGAAGAATCGTGTAATGTTCTGGATTTCCTGAGCACAGGAAAGAGTGAATGTGTGAATTAATGAAAAGCAATTCAATCAAAACTCTAATTATTAAGTAGATCCTAAAGCAGATGAGACTGAGTCCTGTGTCATTAATCTGAGTCTGTTCACTTTGTGCTTCCTTCCTTAGTCTGTGAATTTCTGGTATGTGCTGGTGATGAATGATGAGCACACAGAGAGGCGATATCTGCTGTTTTTCCTTTTGAGTTGGGGACTGCCATCTCTTGTGGTGATTCTCCTTATCATTATATTGAGAGGAATCTATCATCAAAACATGCCACAGATCTACGGACTTGTTCATGGTGACCTGTAAGTACTCTGAGGCAGCATCATGCCTCCTTAGCTCTTTGTATCTCAGCAGCTTTGCTGGATGGAAGACAGTTGCCTAACACTTCTGACCTCAGGCCTTTGAGAAAGATGATTGATCTCTTGGCACATTGTCTGGAGCTGTCCTTCCTCCTCTCCCTCCTTTAAAGAAGAATTTATTGTTCTTAAATAGCTTTGGTAATTTCAATTATTCTCAAGTGGGTTAGGGTATTCAACAGTTCATATAATTTGTATCTAAGCCTAATTTAATTTATTGATGGAGGTAGACAATCATGTCTAGAAAAGTCAAAGCTGTAATAAATTTTTGGTAAGGAGTTTGGCATATTATCTAAGGAATATGTTTTCTGGAAGAGGCGTGTTAATGGTAAGATACCTAAAGACAGCATCTGAGTGAATGCAGTGACTGAAAGTTCATGGCAATGAGATTATCTTCCTAAATATTCCCATTGAAGTATTCTAGTAATAGAAAATTTAGCACTTCTTCACCTACACTTCCCATATGTCTGGCTTAATCTTGAATCTGGTATTTTATAGATCTGAAAGTTACTCAGCTTTTGTATTGATGCCACGTGAAGGAGAAGCAAATCCAAACTTTGGTAGCAAAAAAAAAAAGCTTAACCAGGTCTCTTGGTCTAATGAAAATAAGAGAACAAATGAAGTTCTAAATAGGAAGGAGTAGCCTATTTATAATCTTATGAGGACAATATTATTTATGTGTTTCACAGCTTATTGTTAAGGGAAAAATTAAATAGATGCAAAACATCTTTGAAAGGTAAATTACTATATAAGCAGAAGTTATTCAATAAGATTATTGCATATGACTAATTATATAATTAAATACTTATATTCCTAAATACTTCTTATTGATGCTTACCAGTGTATTTTACACATATGCCATCACAGATTAATAATCCACACCACATTCAGACAATGGAGACTAGTTACAAGACTTACATTCAAACACACACACACACACATACTGATAAGATAGAGTCCTTTTGTTTTATTGAGATTTAAGGTGATTCTCTGTTCTCTCATACTGAACATTTATACTACTATGACATATTTTGTCCTAACTACTCAGGAGGCTGAGAGCTGAGAATCGAGATTCAAAGCCAGCCAGGAGACTCTTCTCTCAAATTAGCTACCAAAAAGCTGAAAGTAGAGCTAGCTCAATTGGTAGAGTGCTAGCCTTGAACAGAAAAGCTCCCAGGCACTGAGTTCAAGTTACATGACTGGCACACGCACACACACACACACACACACACACACACACACACACACACCACAAACACTACTACTCTTGTATTCTAGCTTTCATCGTTTCTCTTAAGAAATTAGCTATCATTCTTGTCTTCCTTTCTTTGAAAGAAACACATCTTTTTACCCACCCTAACTTCTATTTTAAATTTTAAATTTCACAGAGTCTATATGAGATGACCTTCTGTGTGTTTAGCCCTCTGGAAATTTTTAGTACTTCATAAAGTTGTGATTTAATAGTTCTCATTTGTTTTAGAAAAATTGATGATTCTAAGTACTGATAGTTTCCTTTCCCCCTTTTAAAATGATAACTAAATGACTAATATAACCATTTTATATACATTCAACGTATTTTACATAATTTCTATGTATCTTTTGTATATAAAATGTAAATTTTTTCTACTTCAACAAGTAGAAAATTGAGATTTTCCAGCACACTGATCTATTCTTCAGCTTTGTCCAACATCCTATTTAAATTTTAACTTCAAGTACCACATTTAAAATTTTGATTTGTTAAACTATTCTATGGGGGAAAAAAACTAGTATCTTCTCATTTCTTTATTTATTTTCTTTCTTTCTTTCTTTCTTTTTTTTTTTTTTTGGTCGGTCAGGGAGCTTGAACTCTGGGCCTGGGTGCTGTCCCTCATCTCTTCAGCTCATGGCTGGCGCTCTACAACTTGAGCCACAGCACCACTTCTGGTTTTCTGGTGGTTAATTGGAGATAAGAGTCTCACAGACATTTCTGCCTGGGCTGGATTTAAACCATGATCCTCAGATCACAGCCTCCTGAGTAGCTAGGATTATAGGCATGAGCCAACAGTGCGAGGCTTTGTCATTTCTTTTATTAAAAAATGTACTACTGGGGCGAGGAAGGTGGCTCAGTGGTAGAGCGCTTGCCTTGCATGAATGAGGCCCTGGGTTCGATTCCACAGCACCACATAAGCAAAAAGAAGAAAGCCGGAAGTGGCACTGTGGCTCAAGTGGTAAAGCTCTATCCTTGAGCTGAAGAGCTGCGGGACAGCGCCCAGGCCCAGAGTTCAGGCCCACGACCAGACCCAAAAAAAAAAAAAAGATCTGAGAATTGCCTAGCAAGTACAAGACCCTGAGTTCAATCCCTAGGACCTTAAATAAAAGGATAAAGTTTAAAAAAAATGTACTACTGTTTCCTCTAATCTTTGGGGAGCCATTTCCAAGGTCCTCCATGGATGTCCAGCACAGTGGACAGGAGCAAATCTTAATGTATGCCATTTTCTATACACACATTCCTGTGATGATGTTTAGCTTATAAATTAGGCACAATTGAAGATTAAAAATAACTTGCTATAGACCTTAGCAATGACAACATAGAATTTTCTTCTTTCTTTACTGATTTCAAGTTTTACCTTTCCTATGAAAAGAGGTCCTTTATAGCTTCTCTTTTGACTATACAATTTGCCAACATCAGTACTCCTGCACTTTGGGATTATTACTAACCGAAATAAGGGTTACTTGAACACAAGCACAGTGGGGCTATGGTAGTAGATGGTTATTTCAAAGGTGGGCATCACATACAGGTATATCCTGGAGAAAGGTTGTCTCAGATTCCAGGTGGGAAGCATACGGTGGTGCAAGTTTGCATCATGCAACCTTGGAACTAATTAGCTATTTATTTTTTCAATGTTCTGTTAATATTGTCAGACAATAGCTGACTGCAAGTAACATAAATTGAAAATAAAGAGGGGTGAATGAATGGGTTAATTATGATTGTTGAATGTATGTGGGGGGGACCATTTTGGGTTTGTTTGTATGTCTGATTTTTTTGAATGGTAGAAACTGTATATGTAAGGAAGTAAAGGGGCATTGAGTTGTATCATCTAAGCTTCTTGACCTACTGAGTGACAACTTTGTATGACTCTTTCTACTTCTGCTTTTTCCTGGCTCGCTGACCCTTGGAAATGGAGTTTCAATGGTCAGATGTAAACCCCAAACATTCTCTCTCTCTCTCTCTCTCTCTCTCTCTCTCTCTCTCTCTTTCTCTCTCTCTCTCTCTGATTTCTCCTAAGTAAATATGTTTAATATTTAGAGCATTTCAATACTGAAATGCAAAGCCTTAAATGTTCACTTTAGGAAGCTTCTTCTACTCAATGTATGTTAAGATGTGTCAGTAAAGTTTTCCTAGATTGAAGTTCAGTAGCTTCCTGCTGTTCATTGGAGCTTTGGAAGTAAAGAGACAGAGTCAAAAACTGACTTTGCCGTGTTCTAGCTGTGTGAGTCTTTACCTCCCCTCAATGAACCTGAAATTCTTCCTCTGTAGAATAAGCATAATTAAACCTTTGCCACAGGACTGTGATTTGGATTGAGAGGATGAATGCAAGGGAAATGCATGTATAGTACCTGGGACAAGGAGGGAAGAGATGAGAGCCATATGCAGAGGTCTGTGAGATTGTATTGTACATGAAAAAGTAATTACGTATAATTGATCAGACAGGCCCATTTAAACATGACTGACCCTAGAAATACCTGGGGTTACTTACTACTTTATTTCCTTCAGATAGTCTGAAATGGTTGCACTCATTTTTTTCATTATGATTACAAATAATATACTCTTCCATATTTCTGAAAGTCAGAAGCTTTCATCATCTTGAGTTGGAATTTGTTTTTTGTATTGGGTTTTTTAGTCATAAATGAGAAAATAAAGTTATCTAAACCTTGAAAACTTTGGTCTTCCTTAGTTCAGGCTGCTATCCTGGAATTCTATAGACTTAGCATCTAGAAACATTTACTACTGGGCTGGGAATGTGGGTCACTGATAGAGTGCTTGCCTTGCATTCATGAGGCCCTGGGTTTGATTCCTTAGCACCCATAAGCAGAAAAATATGGATGTGGCACTGTGGCTCAAGTGGTAGAGCACTAGCCTTGAGCTGAAGAGCTGAGGGACAGTGCCCAGGCCCAGAGTTTAACCAAAAATAATAATAATCATAAAATAAACATTTATTACTTTACATAAGGGAAAATTGGGACCCCAAAGCACCATATTACAATAAAGCTTCCATTTTCTATATCAATATATAAATTACATTTTATATTATATTGCTCTTGTATTGTTTATCAACCTTCTATTGGTAGATTTTAAACTATTTCCAGTTTTTATTTTATAATATTGCTATGTTGTTTTATTATTGTAATGAAATAGCAGAGGATAGCTAACCTAAATGAAAGAGGTTTATTTATCACACACTTCTGAAGGTTTCAAGACTTGATGCTAGTGTCCAGTCAGCTCTGGTGAAGGGCCTCTTGGCTGTAATATATTGTGGCAAGAGCACATGTGTGAGAAAGGGATTGATTAAAATTTAAAACAGAAAGCCAGGAATCAGGTCTCCTGGCATAGACCCATAGTCCCAGTTACTCAAGAACTAGGGTAAGAGACTCACTTGGTCCTGAGCATACAAGTCCAATGGGGGCAAGATTTAATCTTAAAAATAGAAAAATAGAAAGTCATAGACATACTTCAGTGCCAAAAACCCTTCATTTGGTATGTCTCCAGTTGACCTAAGGATCTGTCTACCTGGAAATCTCATCTTCTCTCAATCCTGCTATCCTGAAAACAAAAGCTCAAAATATGAAACTCTGTCAGAAGCACAGAGAAACCATGTCCAAGTCATAACACCAGCTAGGGGAACTCTTTTATGTTGGCGAGAATATTTTTTATAGGGTAAAATTTTAATTTGGAATGTGCACACACA